CAGAAATGGGTCTTGTACATAACTAGGTACTTGATAAATATCTACTCAAGAATTGAGTAAATTACAAGTCGCTTGTTTGTGCTAACTCCTGCAAACCCCAGTTTGTGGCTAGAGGTCAGTTTTGTTTTTGTTTTTTAATTTACCTCTTTTGGAAGCAAGGACTATGTCAGCTGTGCCTTCTGTGAAATAATAAAGGCACTGGAAGGTTATAAAAGCAATGGATCAACTGTTAAAATTAACCTAATGTGCACAGTCTTTATGGTTAATGTGGGAAACATCCAATCTGCTTATTTTGGGGGAGCCCAAGAACTTGTCTATAAATTTCTTTATGTGGGTGTCAGTGTCTCTCCACACGACTCTCTCGAGGCTGCGAGCTTACTGATGTTTTCTATCTGCTCTGCAAAGTTATCGCTGACATGTCTTTAAATGGCTTCTTTTAAGCTTCAAACAGTGCCCTCTAGCGCTCATGGGTGTTGTTGACTATTAATGACACTAGATTTCGGTTGTATCTTTTGTGTTTATTGCCACTAACTGAGGATGTCTAGTTGCTAAGACAATTTTTTCATTGCTTTTAATCTTTTAAAGGTCTGTACCTTTTTACTCACAAATACACAATGCTTTTAAATTAATATTAATGTCAGATGTGGAAACTTTCCGACTAGAGATTATGCATAACGAGCAATTCGTAATTTCATACTTCGATAGAGAACTGCCACTTCTGACGGAAAGTGCCCAGAGATAGGGTTAAGGGCCATTAAGAAATTCTATTTAACAAAGATTTAGCATCCTAACAACTCCTCGATTCTTTCCTTAGGCATAGGTGAGGTGATAATACCTATTTTGAAATAATTTGAAAAAAGGTTCTTATATCTTATTGTTAGCTGAAATCAAGAGGTGTGACCAGCAAAAAAAAGGAATCTGTGTTCATTAATAACGTTTTACATTTGAAAGGAACAAGAAAGCTAATTCAATCATCCAACCTCTTCTTCTGAACAGCAGAAAGGTTTTGGAGCCGAGCCTGCCCAATTTCCCATCTGCTGCCTTTTACTATCAGCTGATGTGTTAGTCAGGATCATGTTCACCTGAAGAATATATTGTTTAGGTAGCCTTCCTAATTATAACCTTTATTACTTAGCAATAAAAGAAACTGCTTGGATTTCACAAGTAAAATCTACCAATTTTACTGGAATGGACATAGCAGGGTGAGGGTTTTAAAGAAAAAATATATCTTTTTTTAAAAGATTTTTTAAAATTTTATTTATCTTTAGAGGGGAAGGGAAGGAGAGAGGGAGAGAAACATCAGTGTATGGTTGCCTTTCATGCGTCCCCTGCAGGGGACCGGCCTGCAACCCCGGTATGTGCCCTGACTGGGAATCGAACCGCGATTGTCTGGTTCGCAGGCCCGCGCTCAATCCACTGAGCAGGGAGAAAAATATATCTTAAAATATATATATATATAATTTATTCTACACTGAGGATAGATATCATGAGCCTTTAGAAGTGGACAAAGGTGGAGTTACCTTAGAACTGCAGCCTGGAGCTTTCAGGTGGGGGTTACTACAGACTGGCAATATTGCCAAGGGGCGCTAGGGTAACAGAAAGCAGACTGAACAGAAGGGGCCACGCACTGTGACCCAGAAACAGGCTGAGGAGGACAGGCACCAATAATCTTAAACTGTCCCAGCTGCCCCATATTCCAGTGCTTCTGTCTGTCAAACTTTACTTTTTGAAAAGCGCTAGGCGTGGGATCCCCAAACTAGGGTCAGCTGTGATGTGAGGCGCTCTGGAGGGTGGCAGCAGGGACTGTTGGTAAGCACTGTCCTGGGTGCGGCGCGCTCGGGTCTATTAGAACTTGAGGACACCCACTCGCTTAATCACAGGACAGCCAACAGCTGATATGCTGGCGCAGGCGGGACACTGACAGACGCCACTCAAGTACCCGAAACAGCTGGACTCAGGACCCTCGCCCAGACGGTGAACTAGATCCCGACCTCCCTCTAATGTTTCGTGAGTCCTCACATACACACACCTGAAGAAACCCAGCCCACACCTACACAAGTTCTCACACATTCTAACGCCACCCCGGAGCCTGCATCCGTACCTTAGAAGGGATGAACCAAGAGCTTGAAGTTACCCTGGCACTAACTCCCAGAAGCAGACTCCCCTGAGCCCAGCAGAGACTGGAGGGACAGGGACAAAGGGACGCAGACAAAAGAGTTTTAAAATAGATTCCCTCGGAACAAACCTGGTTACTCCAGCTCTAAACGTTAGCAACTTAAGACTTTTCATGTTCGCACAACTAAGAAAGACTTCACACACCGTCCCCGCCCCCACTTCCCTACCTTGTCACAGCGCCAGGCACAGAAGTCTCCCACGCTGAGGAGGGCGCGACTTAAGCCCCTGCGGCTGCCCACCGCAGGGACTCCGGGCGGCGGAGTCTGGCCCCGCCCCCACACAGCCCCACCCCCACGACGCCCCGCCCCTCTCCCGCCCAGTCGGCGCCGAGCGCACCCTCAGGCTCAGCCTTCCGAGCGCAGCTCCGTCACCTCCCGAAGACGGGACAACAGAGCCCGGTGCATTATGGGAAGCCAAGCACAAAGCTGAGCCTGCGCTGACCCCTGGTGGGCGCAGTTCCAAAGGGAACCAGGGCGCCCGAGGCGGGGAACTGCGGAAAAGCTGCAACTAAAAGGAAGGGTCGACCACTTAGGTCTACTGCAGGAGCCTATAGCATTTGTTGCAAAACGTCCATATAAAGTAAGATATAAAAATAAATCGTATGCTTTAAAAGTGCCCAGGACCACCTCCCACATAAGTAAAATACTAAAGCAACTTTAAGACCAGGGAAAACTGTAAGACTGAATGATGTCAAGATTATGGACAAATCCGCACACTTGGTTTTACTTCTAGGTAAACCACAGGTGCGTTCAATTTGTCTTAAGAATAATGGCTAATATGTAACAGGAACTACAAAACTGTGTAATCCAGGGCTTTCGCTTCTGGATATACACCTCAAGGACATAGTTTTAAAAAAGTAAAAAAGGTACGCTATGCAAAAATATTCATACTGAAGATTAGAAAATAACAAATGACAAATAATATGTGAAAGGCACAGAAATATGTATTGTAGCTATTTAACACTATGAACACTACCACTATGCAGAAATGTTTCTATCAAATTATGTTCAATGAAAGACACAGAACACCAGACAGCACGTGGCAGTGACGCCAACTGTGTGAAAGTATGTGCGCTGGCACTTGAAAAAAGAAACTGGAGCAATGTAAATAGTCTAGAGTTTACTGTGTCTTAAGGTTCTTTTATTCTTATTAAATAACTTTCCCGACATTTTAAGTCATTGGGACTATTCATAATTTTGGAGGGCACTGCACTATTTCAGCTTCTCATCACTGCAAGTGATAAAAAAAAAGTTATGCCCTGACTGGTGTGGCTCAGCTGGCTGAGCGCATTCCACAAAGCGGATTTCAGGTCAGGACACAGTCCTGCATTGCCAGTGTGGACCCAGGTGAGGACGCCCACCAATGGATGTTTCTCTCTCACATCAGTGTTACTCTCCCTTTCTTCTTCCCTTCCCATCTCTCAAATAAATAAATGTTTTAAAAAGAAAACAAGTAAATAACATTAAAAACTTCAAAAAATAAATGAGAAGAAACAAAAGATTAAAAGTTTTACCTAAAAAAAGTTCTGAGGCTTTAGGGCCCCATGGCAGTCTTGCTTGTCAGCAAATGCTAGTGTGGGGCACAAGAGAAAGTACATTCACTGGGCAGTGGATTTGTTCGCCGGAGCTAATGTAACAAAGGACTGCAGAGTAGGTGCGGTCTAGCAACAGAAATTTATTGTCCCACAGTCCCGGCGGCTGGACGTCTGAGATCGACAGGTTGATAAAACTGGCTCCTTCCTAGACCTGTGAAGAAAGAATGTGTCCCAGGATGCTCTCCTGGCTGGCAGGTGGCCACTTCACACACGTTCACAGGGTGTTCACCCTGCGTTAGGGCCTCTTGTATAAGGGCATCGGTCATACTGGGTCAGGGGCCCACTTTACTCCAGTACAACGTCATCTTACCTAATTACCCCCGCAACAATCCTATTTCCAAATAAAGTCACATTCTGAGGTACTGAGGGTTAGGACTTCAACCTAGGAATTTGGCGGGGGCCGAGGGGGAGGGCAGAGTAACAACAGTTCAGCCCATAACTGGGAACAGGAGCTTGGGAGTCAAAGTGTACTCTTACGGAAGTTGCACCCCTGGGTGACCAAGATAATAATCATGTGCATCACATAATCTCAAATGTATCAAAACACTAACAATTTAAACACAATAAAACCAAATTCATTACGGCTTTCTTCTTTCTGTCCTTTAACACCTTCCCGGCCTCTTGGGTTGAAATTGGGGATGAGATAAGAGAGCCCAGAGGCTGCATGTGAGTCCCCTGCGCGTGCGTCTGCATCCGCTGCGTCTGGCTTCCTGCGAGAGGTGCTGAAAAGACATGTCCAAATGCTTGGGAGCAGGGTGGCATCTCCTGCATTTAAACATGGGACGTGGGCTCGAACTGGTGTGGCTCGGCCAGTTGGGGGTTGTCCCATAAACTGAAAAGTTGCCAGTTCCTTTCCCAGTCAGGGTACATGCCTGGGTTGTGAGCTAGGATCCCAGTTGGGGACCTGCAAGAGGCAGCTGATTGATGTTTCTCTCCCTCTCTTTCTCCTTCCCTTTCCCTCTCTCTAAAAATGAATACATAAAATCTTTAAGATAGATTGATAAATAGATAAGGGATGTAGGCTGACAATTATAAGAAGCAGGATCCTGTCACTAGGCAGGGTCACACAAATACCCTCCTGCAGAAGAGCTCGGCTCTAGTTCAAGAGGCTGATAAGGGCCCCGCCAGCTGCGGGGGGGGGGGGGCGGTGCCCGACCAGGGGGAAATCCAGTCTTCCGGAACCGAGCCAGCCTCTGCTAGTGAGCCATGCCACACGGGTGGGATGAGAAGCTTTAGATCTTTACTGAGCCTTGCCTCCTGCCTTCTGAGGTGATGGGGACCCAGAGGATCTCTGAGAGAAATGAAGTAAGTCCTGCCTAATACTTCAGATCAGTTTTTTTCCCTTCAGAAGGAGCAAGTATCACAGATGGCAGTGTACTGATGAAACAACCACTTGCTCTCCAGAAAGAAGAGATCTATCGGTGATGTGTGCAGATTTCTGTGGTGTCAATACCCCTCATGGCTGACCTCACACTGCGGACGAGAGGTCACTGGAGTCTGAGTCAGACTCCAGGACACCACCAACCCCAGGTAAATGGCTTCACAGTCTCAGCGCAGCAGGCCGCGGGCAGGGAGCCACGGCTGGGAGCACCAGTGAGCAGCAGACAGAAGGGGCATGTGGTAGGTTAGTGGCAGTGTTAGTGGGGAGCATGGCCGTGGGGTGGCCCCAGCAAAAGCAGGGCCCACACACAGCCTCCAGGGCAGTGAGGGTGGGGACCGGGCAGTAGGAAGTGGATTCTTCCAGAGCTCAGAGAAGCTCAGGCAGCCTGGGGACGAGAACAGGTGAGGCAATCAGGATGTTCTCAGACTGGATGGCAGCATCCTGCTCTCACTTCCCTCATTAGGGCATTCTCCCGAGAACAGGAATTCTCCTGAGAGGACCTTGCCAGGAGGAGAGACATTTAGATCAGCACTCCCAGGTTCCGCACAGACAGTTCTTGTCACTGAGTTAAATTCCACATGGACTCGTGCCCAGGTTAGGGACGCAATGTCAGGCTGAGCGCACTGGAGGACAATGTGGGCTCCTGTTGGAACAGGTCCAGCTTGTGCAAAAAGGGTGACAAAGCCGAGGCCGCTTGGTGGTGTCCTGTCTCCCTTAATGGGCGGGATGCATTTCAAGACCCCCAGTGGATGCCTGAGAGCACAGATAGTACCAAACACTATTATATATGATGGTTTTTTCCCTATATACACATACCTATGATAGAGTTTAATTAATAAATTAGGCACGATAAAGAGGTTAACAACAGTAACTACTAATAAAATAGAACAAGTATAACCATAATAGTATAGGAAATGAAGAAGTCATTATATGTACGACCCACGGACATAAACTAAGGTGGGGGAATGCTGGTGGGAGGTGGGGTGCAGGGCAGAGGGGAATAAAGGGGAGAAAAAAATGGGACAACTATAACAGCATAATCAATAATATATATATATATATTTTAAACTTATGTGAATGTGGTCTCTCTCTCAAAATACCTTATCGTACTTACTCACACTTTTGTGATGATGCGTTGACCTTGGGGAACGGAACCCACAGAGAGCGACACCGTGGGGGAGGGGAGGGCGCCGCTGCACTTCCTGCAGGGCCCGACCCCCCGTGTTCTGTATTGGTCTCGGACAGTATGTCCACCACACTCGCCAGAGCGATTCTTCTCACAGGCAAACCTAATCATGCGTGTGTTCCTTCTTGCTTAGAACCCTCCCTGGCTAGAGTTCCCTCTTTCTCCCGGGAGACAGTTATTTTCCTGATCTGACCTCTGTTCATCTCTCCATCTTTATTTGCTACTCTGCTCCTAGTAACTTCACTTTACCAAGGTTGCCCTTCCCAAACAAGCTCCGCTTGCTTGATTCTAGGCCTTCTTATTTGGGCTTCCTCCAGGTTTGTACTCTTTTCCAAGCTCTGTGGGGCTATTCCCAGGTCTGGCATCTTCTGTAACATGCATAGTTTTATTATTAAACACCTAGGTTACTTTTTTTTACTATCTTTTTATTGTGGCAAAATACATATCACATAAAACTTGCTATTTTCACTATTCTAAGTACAGAATTTAGTGGCATTAATCACATTCACATTGCTGTGTAACCCTCATGGCTCTTCCATATTTTTTATCACCCTAAACAGAAACTCTGTACCTGTTGAGAAATAACTCCCTACTTTCTGCTTCACCCAACCCCTGGTGATATCTATTCTACTTTTTGTCCCTGTGAATAGGCCTATTCTAGATGTTTTATGGAAATGAAATCATGCAGCATTTGTCCTTTTGCATCTGACTTTTTCTACTTAGCGTGAGAATGTCCCTCCTTTTCGTGGCTGAATAATATTCCATTGTATGGCTACACCATTATTTTCTGTATCCTTTTATCTATTGATGGACACTTAGGTTGTGTCCACTCTTGGGCTATTGTGACTAATTCTGCTCTGAACGTTATACACTTCACAAGTGTTTCCCCTCCACATGGTAAGGGCTTATTTCTATCGTAGCTTGGCCAGCTTCTGTTTACCTTAGAGAACCCTTTGTAAGTAGGAAACTCAAATCTGCGTCCAGGAATGTATCTGAATTTCAGGCTTTTTCGCATGGGCTGTGTGAGCAGGTGAGAGTATTGAGGGTGGCGGAGCCTGAAGAGCCAGTTAGAGACAGGGCTGGGCAAAGCGGGCTACACACGGACCCACATTTGACACTCATTTGAAATGTCCACACGCAGCCATTCTAAAAAACAAATGGCGAGCGCAGTTGCTGTGGAGCGCGCATGTGTGGACTGGCTGATGGGAGAAGCGCAGAGAAGAATGGGAGGTAGATTGGGGAGAAGAGAGTTTCGTAAGGGGTCACTTGAACCCCCAGCAGAACTTTAGTCAAGCTAGCAAATCACTACCACAACAATAAATTTGGTCAAAGACGAAGTGGAGACATGGGGATGGCAGCATGCAATTTTCTTTCATTTGCTTTTAAATGAGCACAAGTGACATAGCGTACTGAACACAAACCAGGGTATCCAGTTGAGCGTACGCGAAACGCCATGATCTGGCCTGACTTTGGCCAAGCACAGCTCGTGCTGTCAGGCTGCTTCCTAAGAGTAGTCGCTGAAGGCTTCTGTGGTTTTCTCTCCCGGCTCCAAAGCTGTGAGGCCTCGTGTTGAATTCTGTCGGCATTTACTCAGTTGTCAGACGTTCCAGTTTGTACACTCTGAAGTCTCTGTACGACTCCAGTTGTGGGCCGTCCCCAAGCACAATTAGAAAGAGGCAGCATCTTCTTTCTGTGTCTTCTCCTCCAGGCACCAAGTGTTAACAGCAGGGATGAATCACTAAGAGCAGAGTTTTAGGCATGCATGGAAAAGCACATTCTGGGATGTGTCAACCTTGCCACTCCTCACATCGCGCCATCAGGGCACACCACATTCTCCGCTTGGCTGAAAGGCCAGTCCTGCCTGGACAGGTCCCTCTGAGACTGACACACTCTGATGGGACGTGGGCTTTGAAAGAATGTCCCGCTCCCTGGGGTGGTGCCAGCCAGGCATGCAGCGCCGCTGTCTTGATGCAGTCTGAGTAAAAAGGGTTGGGGATGGTGAAAGTGGAAGAGGCCAAAAGAAGGAAGCAAAGAGGAACCCTGGAGAATACGCCTGGAAATCGGTTTTGTCTTCCCCTCAATTTCCTCAGCCTACGGAGAAACCACAGCACGTGCTAAGACAGACTCTGAGGAGCCCCTACGTGTTGTGGTCCCTGGGTCGTTCCTGGGAGCCCCTGTGTATTCCTGGTCCCTGCTGCATGCCCAGGTCCACACACAGTGCACGGCTGCTGATGAATTAACTTAGAAAGGAGAGCACTAAAGCCTTCAGACAACGTTAGCCTTGTGCAAAAGTCTCAAAGAGCATAAGACCTGCCTCTCACATCTGAGTGCCTCTCCTTCCTCTCTGTGGAGATTCCATCTCCTGTCTCAGTTACTCTTTATCTCTTACAACTTCCCTGTTTCCTTCTGTATAAAATTCTCTTTACCTGTTTACTGAAAGGATCTTAGGCCTGGACGAGTAGCTCAGCTGGCTAGAGTGTCATCCCAATACACCAAGGTTGCAGGTTCTATCCCAGGTCAGGGCACATAAAGAATCAACTAATGAATGCATGAAAAAATGAAACAACAAGTCCATATTTCTTTCTCTCTCTTTCTTTCCCTTCCCCTCTCTCTCTCAAATTAATTTTTTAAAAGGGATCTTATATACTAATTTACACAAAGGTATGAATGATTGAAAATAGCTCATTATACTACTGACTTTGGCAAGAGCAGTTACATTTTCCAAAGTAATAATTTCATCAGTAATTATTTAGCAGTAAAAATTTCATCCATAACCCCATGTAATACTTTTTAAATCTGGGAAATGGAGGCATACCATGTTAATACTAATCAAGAGAATACTGGTGGAGCTGCATGACTTTCGGACAAAACGGACTTCAGAGGAAAAAAGTGACCAGGGAGAAAGAGGGCCACTGCACAGTGATAAACACATTGATGAAGTGGTCAGTGCTTCGAGAAGACCTAATAATCCTTAATGTTTACACACTTCACAAGAGAGTGTCAGACTACGAGGTAAAATTGATAGAAACTTCAAAGGGGAACAGAGGAAGCCAGTATTTGGGTCAAATACTTCAACAGCCCTCTATCGGAAATGGACAGACGCGGCAGGTGGAACGTGGGTGGGACACGCCGCAGCCGGACTCGACCCTCCACCAGCCGGACATAACGGACATCTATCGGCTGTTTCGCTCAGCAACGGAACGCACGTTCTTCTCAAGCTCACACACGAAACATTCCCCAACACAGACCGAGTTCTGGGCCATAAACATTCCTCAACAGTTTTCAAAAATTGAAACCACATGCACGATGCTCTCAAAGCACAGTGAAGTTAAACTAGAAGTCAGTAACAAAAAGGGCTGGGAAATTCTAAAATATTTGGAAGTTACACAACACACTTCTGAATGACCCGTGGATCAAAGAAGTCTCAGGAGGAACTGAAACATATTTTGAACTAAATGAAAATAAAAATACAACTTAGAATTTGTAGTATGTGGTGAAAACAGCGCTAGAGGGAATTTATAATATTGAAATGCAAATTTTAGAAAAGAAAAAAGATCTCAAACTAATAATATAAGCTTGTACCTTAGGAGACCCAAAAAAGAGGAGCAAGTTAAATTCAAAGTAAGCAGAAGACAAGAAATGACATAAATTGGAGCAGAAATCAACAAAATTGAAAGCAGCAAATCAATGGAGAAAATCAACAAAACCAAAAGCTGATTTTTTAAAAAATCAATAAAATGGATAAACCTCTAGTCAGGATAACCAAGAAAAAAGAGAGAAAAGATAAGAATTGCTAACATCATAAATGAAAGATTTGATGTACATTAAAAACACATAAATATATGATTTAAATACACAAATACACTAAAAAGCATGAATACTGATCCTAGGGACATTAAAAAGATAATAATAGAATATTATGAATAATTCTATGCCCACAAATTTGACAGCTTAGATGAAATGGATCAAATTCTTGAAATACACAAGTCTTTCTGCCAAATTCATTTCTATAAAAACTCACACAAAGAGAAACATATAATATGAGTTGGCCTTTATCTATTAAAGAAATTGCATCAGTAATTAATAGCCTTCGAAAATGGAAAGAACCAGGCTCAGGTTGGTTTTACTAGTGACTCCTAACACATATTTAAAGAAGTTATGTTGATTCTCTACCATCCCTTCCAGAAGGTAGGGGCTAAGGTAACACTTCTCAATTCATTCTGTGAGCACAGCATTATCCTGCTACCAAAATCGGCGAAGACATGACAAGAAAAGAAAACTACAAACCAATTAATTATCTTTCATAAACATGGAATAAAATATCCTTAACTAATTATTAACAAATTGAATCCAACAATGTATACAAAGAATTATACGCCAGGGCCAGGAGGGATTTACCTCAGGTACACAAGGCTCCTTCAACATGCAGAGTCAATGCAATCCAGCGTAGCAACAGGCCAAAGAAGAAAAATCATAGGATCATATCAATAAATGCAGAAAAAGTATTTGACAACATCCAACACTCAGTTGTGGTTTTAAAAATTCATGTAGAATCTGTTGTAAAAAGTCAATCAGACTCAATGCTGGTGTGGCTCAGTGGATTGAGCACCAGCCTACAAACCAAAAGGTCACTGGTTTGATTCCCAGTCAGGGCACATGCCTGGGTTTCGGCCCAGGTCCCCAGCTGGGGGCATGGGAGAGGCAACCATGTAACTCTCACACATTAAGATGTTTCTCACCCTTCCTTCCCCAGTCTCTCTCTTAAAAAAAAAAAAAAGTAAATGAATAAAAAACCAGCCAGATAATACATTTCACCTGGGTAAATAATTGGTCAAGAATACTGAGTGACCACTCTCTTTGCTAGAGTTTTTAAAACATGTTGTAAATGGACAACCGTCAAAAGGGTATAATATGAGATTAAAACACCCAATAACTTCTGCACTGAAGATAGGTTTTGACCGAAACATTCCACTAGACTGGTGCTGTTTTTTTTTTTTCTGCCATCAGAATGCTCTTTGGGCCCAGGCAGGCAAACATCAATTGAGAAAGAGCCCTTTGCCCTCCACTGTAGGCCAAGTCCAGGGACATGACGACCCTGGAATGCCAAGCCGGTGCCCTCACCACGGAGGCAGGACAGCGAGGTCTGGGGTGACAGTGGCAGGCTTGTGCAGCTAGAAGGGAACAGAATCACTTCTGTATTTAACCCTGTGGCTCCTTTGACTTTTTTTTTTTTTGCAGACATAGTCTTCAAACCACACACATTTAGAAAATGAGAAGCCTTTTCCAGAGGTGAAGAAAGAAAGAAAGGAAGAAATCAAGAGCTATAAAACGGGAATAAAGAAGCTATGACAGTATCCTTTCTGTCTCTAAGTGGTCTTTCACTTCTGGGGTCAGCGTCACAACTCGTTTGTGCCAGACATTCTAAATACAAGGTCATTATCGTCTCTCGCCGTGAAAGGGTGAACACCACACTCTGGCATTTCAGTGCAGTATGATTCAAAACACTTGCTTAGAAAACTGAAAAATTAAACCCAATTAAATGCACTTAGAATCCAGGATATTAGAGCCAGATGAGGTCATGAAAGTGACTTTTTCCACGTCCCACTTAATCAGTGAAAACCCCCCGCCCCGAGAGGACACAGGATGGGAGGGGCGACACCGGCTCGGTGCCCCAACGTGAAGAGGACACTTCACCCGTCTGGGCCCCTCTTTCTTCATCTGGACAGTGGGGATGGTAAAAATCACCTCACAGGACTGGCGAGGGAATTAAGATCAATAACCTGCAAAGCATGTTCTTGCCACACAAACGCGCTCAATAATTATTTTCTTTTCTTCTGGTTTCCAGTCGGAGCAGCCCTCAATGCCTGGGCTCAGAAACCCCTGTTCTCACTCTGAGCTCTGGTCCAGACGACAGCAGCGGGGAGTGTGCAGGCACCCTGTTGCCTCGGCGATGGCAGGGGTCACTGGCTGTGCTCTGGTGCCTCCGGGGTGCTGCCGCCCCGCGCAGGAGGGCCGCAGGTGGACTTAGTCTCTGCCTCTGCCACCGAGAAGCATAAAAACCTAGATCCACCTATAGTCGGTTTTTCCATCTCAGAAATAGGGCTTTAAAAACTGGCATTATCTGGTATTTGGGAATCTTTCCCAGCTGGCAAATTCCATGAAATTTGCTTAATCTGTGTTTATGTCTACATAGGCTGGGGTCAGGGTAACAAATCAGAAATCAATGAATATGCACCTATAAGAGGAACCTAATAAACAAAACAAAGGAGTAACTAGAACCAGAGGCGTGGAGACAAGAAGCAGCCTGACAGAGACCGGAGGGGCGTGGGGAGGGGGCTAAGGAGAGAAAGAAGGGGTGGGGTCTAATCAAGGAACTGGTACAAATGACCCATGGGCGGGGCAGCAGGGTGCGATGGACTGTGGCGGCGGAGGAGAGGCGGAACGGGGAGAGCAACAGGGGAAGACTGGGACAACTGCAATAGAACAGTGATTAAAAATATAAAAGAAAAGAAAAATATCAAAAACTGTAGTGCTGGCCAGGTGGCTCACAGTCGGTTGGAGCATCACCCTATACACCGGAAAGGCTGCAGTTTCATCCCCAGTCCAGGCAGGTATGAGAGGCAACCGATTAATGTTTCTCTCTCTTTCCCCTCTCCCCTCTTCCTCTCTCTCTAAAATCAATCTGCAGATCCTCAGGTGAAGATGAAAAAAGATACAAGAGAAAAGGAGTCAAGGGGAGGTACGAGGAGACAGAAGGGCCTTGTTTTCAGGAGAATGGATTTGCTCATTTCTACAGGCAAATGGCGTAGCTCTCAAAGATTTTATTGGGGGTGGTGAGCACACAATACAGCGCACAGATGGTGTGTTGTGGAGCTGTGCACCCCAAACCTGTACAATCTCGTTAACCAGTGTCACCCCAATAAATTCAACACAAAGGAAAAATAAAAGATGTCAACCTCTTGTAAGAGTGCCGTCTTCTCACTTTTCCTCTCTTGTGATCAGTTAGCGAACATTCAGCTCTGACGAGCGACCTTCAAACAGCCAGGCCCCACTCTGCCACCGCATCCCCTCGACCTCAACCTCCAGCGGCCAAGTCCTCATCCCCGTGCGGGACCCTGTCCTCTTCCCGTCTTCGTTTTCCTTTCCGCTACAATTTCTCGTCCCTCACTACTTCCCACCCTCCCGCATCTTACTGGGTCTTCCACAAACCACAGACCCTCTGCAGAGGGTTCTTCTCCCTCCAGGGCACTTTGGATTCCAGTGACCCCGGGTCAGTCGGTTTGGCACCTACTAACGCTAAACACACACATACCCTCTGACTCATTCCACTTCTGGGTACAGACAGCAGGGAAACGAGCATCCGGCCAAGACAAGACATGTCTAAGAATGCTCACAGCTGATTTATTCATAAGCAAGAGCTGGAAACAACCAAATGCCCGTCAACGACAAAACGGATACATTGTGATACATATCACATAATGGGACGATACACAGCAAAGGAAAAGAATGAATCATCCCCCTATTGAACACTATACCCGGATGCATCTCAAAGCCCATCATGAGAAAAAGAAGCCAGAGAAACAAACACCTGTCCATTTATTTCTCCATGAGTATCAATCAAACGGGCCAAGCTCCTGTGCGGTGAGGCTGGGAAGGTGGTTCCTTCGGGGGGATACTAACTGGGAGAGAGCATAAGGGATGCTACCTTAACATGGTTTGTGGTTACACGGTCCTGATACAATGTACCGAGTTGTCGGCATCCATGCGCTTTATGTCAGTTCTACCTCCATTAAAATGTAAGAAAACATATTAAATTAAAAAAATAAATGTGTCACCACAAAGTGCAAAACAGCAAGCAAGCTGTGCTCCGCGCCCCATCTGATTCGTCTGCCTCCCTTGGCGCTGCGCCCGCGCAGCAGGTGTGGCTGCCGGTAGCCCGGGGCCGGCGGGACCGCGCGGAGCGAGCAGACAGCGCAGCAGATGGAAGCGTCCTCGCCTCGTGAGAGCAGCCGATCTGGACCCTCCGTTTGCGGATATGGAAGAGGCGTGAAGGGCCCGAGGAAGACGGCGGCATAAGGAGTTTCTCCCTTACTTCACCCTCCCATTCAGTCCCCAAGTCCAGGAAAACGCCGCCTCAAAGCCCCAACACCCAAGGCTCCGACTTCTTCCCGTGCAGTTCGCTAAGGGCCTGCGGCGCGGTTCCCGTCCTGCCTCTGCGCCCGCCCCGGCCTCTCGGTCACCGCGGTGACCCTCTGCGCACACCGTTCTCCACGTCCTCCTCGCTAACTTTCTCCTTCTGTGCCTGGCCCCGCGCCTCTCTGTGATTCCCTCTCTCTTCCCAACCTTCTCACTCGTTTCTTCCTTCTAAAATATGCAAGAAAGATCTAAGAATTTTCTACAGCATTCTGGATTAATTTTTTAAAGGAATTTGGGGAAAAACCTGGATTTCCTTTTAGAAAACAGCTTTCCCATTAAGGTAAACTCACATGCACATTATTACATAGAAATCTGATTTTTAAACTGCCTGGCCTTCACTCTAAAAGTCATGACAACGAAGCCTGTCGGGATTGTAAGGCGGCCTTGCTGATTTCTCCTCAGGAAAACCGCTTCCAGCAACACTGTTATCAAGTTCCGAAAAGATTTACTCAAAGTGAAAGTCACGCAAAATTTCTGAGCGACCTCAATTTTTATACCCAGTAATGTATACACATAGTAGGAGGGAAGCATGATGGGAGATTTGTTTCCCTTACACTTTCTGACCCACAGAGAGAGTTGTGGGAGGGGCGTGGGTGCGGGAGGGCGATGGCTTCCCTGGGGGAGACCAGAGGGGACCCAGGGAAAGGGCGTGTGTGGAGGCTGGGCCGTGAGGGCAGGGGAGCCGCGGCTGCTGGACGGCAGGGGGCTCCTCCTCGCCTCGCCTTCAAGCCCATAGCCTTTTTTCAAAAAAACAGATTCTGCCTCACGTTTATTTGTACAGACAGCACTGGAGGACACCAGCCCCACGCAGACCACAGCCCAGGGGTCACACCAGTCCTTCCTCTCCTCTCACGCCAGCAGGCGGAGTCTTCGTGGGGGCACCTGTGGGAGCCTGAGCCAGAGCTGCAGCTGGAGCCTTGCCCTTGGACTTTGGGTAGCAGAGCCTGAGACCCTTGGTGATGCGGCACAGGCCCTGGCACTCGTGTTCATTGGCATTGTTGGCATTGTCTATTTCCCCCTTTCATTCCCCTCCACCTGCACACCCCCTCCCCCACCATTCCCCCCTTGAGTTTATGACCACGTGTCTCAAGTTCTTTTAGATTCTATATTTCCCATACTATTCTTGCCCTCCCCCTATTTTCTACCTACCATCTATGCTACTTATTTTCTGTACCTTCGGAGGCGTAGGTGGAAGCACTGCACCTTCTTACACAGCCAAGTTTAAAAACAACAAAGTTTTAACAATGAAAATGCAGCCAAACCACAGAAAATTGAACTACACGGAAGTCTGACAACAACAAACCCTTCAGCCAAACCAGTAAAAGGGGCAGAGCCAGCAGCAGAGCGGGGTCAGGCAGGAAAGATCCACCGGACCTACCCGGGTGCGCGACCCAGGGGCACAACCCAGGCACCCCTGCAGCCATGGGCGGATCCCAGGTGTGGAGAAACGGGCGGACCCACTGAGGGCCCAAGGCAGTGGACTCACTGAGGGCTGACCACAGTCACACATTCGAGCGTGGATAAACCAGTGAAGGAGCAAAGCGGTGAGACAGACCGTGCAGGCCCCAGTGGCAGAAAGTGGCAGAGGGGACCACCATTGTCCCTCTCTGACCCTGTCCCCACATACAGTGTCACAAACCAGCGACCTGGGTGAGCTTTAACTTCACACACCACCTCGCCCAACAGGAGCCTGTGTCCGCAACCAAACCCTGCCGTCTCCAGAAGGCCATCTAGAAGCGAGGGGTTGGGGGTAGGGGTGGGGGTTCATAACTCTACCCCCTGCCCAGCAGCCCATCAACTAATACGTCTTCCAACTATTTACTTTCCCCCCCATGAGAAGTGCTGGGAATCCAACATCCTTCATCTCACACATTGCCAGCAAGGTGTGGGCGCTCTTCACGGCTGGTGTCTACACAACTGCAACGGCCCCACCTTTGATTCAGCTCCGCAGGGAGTAACTGTCGGGCCATTTAGAAAATCCACCGTAGGAACATGGAACAAACCATGCCGTTTAACCTGCCCCTCAGTTACCAAATCTTCAACATTAGGAATGGTGATGCCCGCCAGCAGGGCTGCGTGGAGAGCTAAAGGAGACAGAAGCGCTCAGTAAATACTGGTTTCTTCCCACTCCACCCCTCCCACAGCCCTCGGAAACCACGCGTTGGTCAGTTCCTTCCCTCCAG